GATTCCATTTGTTTGACTTAGTATGTGTAGAATGCTAGATTTCTAACTTATATTCACTCAAAACTTTGATATAGTTCCATGCTTTTTAGCATCTAGTATTAGTGCTAAAAGCCTAGACAATTTATCTTAGTGATTAAAAATATTCGTGAATGAGGCTTGAAACTTCTAAACCAATTCAGAGAATATAAAGAAATACTAAGTTGTAAAAAAAAAAAAAAACAGAAAACAACAAGAGGAATTAGCAAGAGATACCTAAAATTCAGATTTTGTTCAAATTTCACAAAGTTTTATGCCACTGTCCATTATTCATTTTCATATCTTACTCAAGACTCCACTTTGTATTTAAATGCACTGAGTAGCTTCAGCTGTGTGAAATAAACTATGGTAAACTCTCTTCTCATTTTCATTCTATTACAAATATTGTCTAATTTTTCTTGTTATGGCTTCTTAGAAACACCCATAATTTAATTTCCAAATACATGGGATTTTGTTTAAAGTATCTTTAATATTAATTTCTTATTTCAATGCTTTATTCTCTGCAAACACCCTCTGTGTTTTTTTTCAGCCTAACTTATTGAGGCTTTTGACGCCTAACTTGAAGATCTCTCTTGGTAAATGTCACACTGCACTTAAAAACGTGTGGGTTATTTTCAAATATCTTCAATATTGATTTCTAGCATAATTCCATAGTGTTAAGAGTACAGACTCTGCATGATTTCAATATCTTTAGATCATGTAATTTTTGCACCTTGTTTTATGTCCCTGAATATGTTCTAGTGTTTCCTAATTTAGCATCTATGGGAACTTGAAGGGAATTTGCATCATACTGTTGTGTGAGAATTGTATAAATCTTAATTACGTTGAAAAAAAAGAAATAAACAAAAAGATATAAGCCATGAAAAAAAGACATCATGGGGAAAAAAGTTTTCCCTATCATAATAGGAAAAAAACGAGGTAAAATATTCATGAATAAACTTGACAAGGACCATGAAGAAAGCTTCAAAATGCTCCTGAAAGTGCTCTTGAACAAATAAAAAACTAAGGAATCTTCAATATAAAGGAAGACATTCCTTGTTTTTGGACAAGATGACTCAACTTCATAAAAACATCAGTTATCCTGAAGTTATACACAAAGTTAATGTGATCCTAACAAAAGACATCAGCAACATGTTACAATAGCCAGGAAAACCCTGAAATAAAAGCAGTGGAAGGAAGATTAGCCCTACCAGATATCAAAACATAATAAAGGGAATTGAGTTCAATCTCTTTCCTCTATTGCAATAGTTGTGGATACAGTCTTCCTTGCTGTTCACACAGACACACACAGACACATACAGTGTAACTCCTAAACGTGGGACCGCACAGGAAGGGATAAAGCTCTGTGACAGGCTAGAAACAGGTCCAACTGCATTCGGATACTTAGTCTATGACACAAATGCATTTCAGATCACAAGACAAAAGATGGCCTTTAAAAAAAATGTTGGGGCAAACATTTGGAAAAAGATTAAATTGGATCTGTAAACTAGGCACAAAACCAAAAGACTATAGGAAACAGAGGTGAATTCCATTACAGTTGGGTTGAGTAAAGCCTTTCTAACTAGGATTCAAAATCTAGATGCAATAAATGAAAAGAACGACTAAATTAACAGTCTCAGAACAGAAGCTTTTAATGGTAAAACTCACTGTGAACAAGTAAAAAGAACCTTGGGAGAAATAGTTGCAATTTAACAAAGATAAAGCACTAATATCTCTAATATATATTTTAGACAAAATTTTAAATCCAAAGAAAAGAACACCCTCAAATCCAAAAGGAAATGGACAAAATATATGGACAGGCAATTTACAGAAAAAAGATGATCAAGTGACTCATGAACAAATGAAAAGCTGTCTAATTTCACTCATAAGAATAGAAATGTAAATTAAAATGTATTGAAGCACTATTTACTGGCTCTCAGATCCATGAGATTGTGGGGGAAATACACACTGTCACAACTTGCTGGTAGGAGTGGGAAATTTGGGGAGAGGGAAATCAAGAATAGTTAACAAAATAAATATTTACTTACTCTTCCTTCTTGGAATCAATAATATGCCTCCACAAATACAAGCAACCTATGTGCAAGGTTATCTATTATTCCATTATTTTTAATGGCAAAGGCTTGTAAAAAAAAAACAAACCCAAATTGTCAATGAGTAAGATAGTTGAATAAGTACAGAACAGACTCAGAATGGAGTACGATGTGGGTCTACAAAGGAATCAGGAGAGTCTCTATGAACTAGTAACAAGATATTTCTAACTGAAAAAAGCAAGGCACAAAAAGGATGTATATATACTAACTTTTGTAATAATTTATAAGTGGTTTAACAAAAGAGACCCAGGAAGAATAAACCTGAAATTATTTCAAATACCATAGTATGGGGACAAGAAGAAAGAGACAGGAATGGGATTGAGACTGCAAATACAGCTTTTTTTTTTTTTTTAGTTTTGACCTTTGTACCATGTAAAACAAATGTTCAAAAATTAAATTATATCATAAAGGGGAAAAAAAACAAATTGTGTGCAAACAAATGAAACTAATGGTATATCAAATTGATAACATATTTACATAGTGCTGACTTGACAGCCAAAGAAATCCTGAACTTGACCTGGTAGGTTTTGGTTGGTTTGGATGTAGTGATTCTGAAACTATTTTGACTATATTCTAGGGTTAAGCAAATTATTACTGAGAAATGGACTATTCCTGCCGTATCAGTAAACAAAGGATGTCACAGTCATCAGCAATTGCAGCCAACACGGATGGTGAGCTGGTGAGCCCTGAGGGAACTCGGGAAAGAACAATACCTGCCATCAGCAGCCATCAGACTGCAGTCCCTCCCCACGATGAGCCCGGAGGAAACTTGGGATTTGAAAACACAGGATACTAGCTGAGAAGCATATCAAAGGAATGATTTCAGTAAGCCCAGACTCTTGCATCTTCCCATACATAGAAAAGCGCTAGTTCCTTAACTTAAGATATCTGGTTTTCTTTAATTTACAGCAAACTTTTGACTTTAGACTATTTGCCCTCTGTTGCAAAACTTCTATATAACCTGGCTCCCCCTCTTGCCTCCTTGGAGCAGTTCTCTCAGAGTTACTTGAGATGCTGCCTCCTGGGCTTAAGTCCTGAATTTCCATCGAATAAAATATAACTCAACTTTTATATTGATATTTTTGGGGAACGAGGTTCTTATTGTAGGAGAAAGGAGATGAAACTATTAACTTTCAGTTTTAAAAAAGGAGTTCTTGGTTCAGTCCACTGAGGTGGTCTAGGGTCAATGACGCCACGGTAGCAATGAGCATTTCTAATGCTCAGAAACTGGTTTCTAACCCCCACCACAACCCCACTAAAAGACACCAAGACTTCTTGAGAAATGGCTGACTCTAGGCCTGGGTCAAAGTCCAAGTCAGAGCTGGATTAGCTCCAGGACCTATGGGAACATATGGAAGGATGCAGAGATTGACCTGAACACCCAGCATCTCATCTCTACACATTCGGGGCAGGCACTCCTTCCCCTGCCAGGCACAGGGAGGTCTGAGATGGGCACCCAGAAGGATGCAGGAAGATGGGTAGGGCTTCAGACCAAACTGGTTCTCCCGTCCACCACCGCTAACAACCCCACCACCTGCAGAAGACCATGCCCTTCTTGAGCCCCTGGCTCTGCCAGGATGGCAGACTCCACATCTGGCAGCCAATTGGCTCTCCTTGAGAATCTCTGGCAGACTCCAGCAGCCTTCTCCCTGTTCCCTCTCCTGCTCCTGATAGTCCTCTGCACTCACCTTAGGGACATCCTTTCCAAACTCGAAACCCTCCAGGGTCTGTCCATCGCACCTGGAGGGAAGGTCAAACTCCACAGCTCACAAAACTGGCTCTGTTTCAGCTCCTCCCTCCGCCCACCTGTGCCTGCTTCAGGGGCCTTGTACCCTTGGACCTTTTTTGTGGGAGTCACATCACAGTCGTGGTCAGTGGTCATGGCTCAGACACATCCTCTTTGACCAGGGTAAGCCTCTCCTCACCCCCTCCCCAGTCTTCACCCTAGTTACTCTGTTTTATTTTTTTTCCTACCACTTATCTCCTGCCATTACCTTGGCTTTTCTTTAGATGACTTATGCAGCTCCCCTCTCCCACATCTGCTTGTAAGCACTCCCAGGGCCAGCAGCAGACAGCACACAGGAGTTTCAGGAATGCAATGCTGCAGGCAAGTGAGGCAACAAACCCAGGGCTCTCCGGGTTACCTGGCACAGTGACTGGACTATGGCTTTTGGAACCAGTCCTACCATGGTTGAAACTCCAACTTTGCCACTTGATGGTCCTGAGACCTTGAAGAAGTCCTGTGACTGCTCTAAGCCTCAGTAACTTCAACTAAGACAGAGACACAGCACCTGCCCTGCAAGCTAATCTTCCCAGGACACTTCTCTGACTCCTGAGGCTCAGCAGAACACCTGCCTCAGAGAACCAGGAGACAGGGGCAAGGGACAAGGGGGTGACCCCTCCATACTCCAAGCTGGCTTGTCTGTCTTTTTAACATTGTTCCCCTGGAGCAAGGAGCCCGGGGCAGGAGCAGGAGCCTCCCCTGGCCTCTTCCCCTTCAGGCTTCCCAATCCCCACGTGGACACAGAGTGGAGCGGACTCCAGGTTCCCTGGCCCTGCCCACCATCACTAGTGAGGAACACACCCAGAACCCGAGGCTGACCCCACTGCCCCTGCAGGCTCTCTCGCATCGATCCTTTCCTCAATCCTAGCCCAGCTTTAGAGGTGACAACACCCTCTTCTCCCACAAGGCCCTTTGTCATCTTCACAAGCAGTCAGTTGCCAGGTCAGCCTTCCTGTTCCCATTTCACAGTCCGGGAAAACTGAGGTCTCGTGTTGGGTAGGCTTTGGGCCCAGGCTGGCTTTTCCTGCCGCTCGAGCAGNGTGGGGCTGCGAGGGACCTTGCCCTGGGGCTCCCTTCCCGCTCCCTCTGAGGCCACCCGTCCCGGAGGCGTCCCCGCTCACCCGGCCTCTGCTCTGCTGCGGGCCTCGGGATCAAGGCCGTAAGTCCAGCCCTGTATTCAGGACCCTCCGCCGTGACTTGCCTCCCACCCACTGGAGGTGGGACCCGCTACGGGCGTCAGATGCCACCCTCCACGTCATGGCTCCTGCTGGGCTCTGCAGCTGAACTGGCCCCTCCCCGCTACCGACTCTCTCACCTGGAAAACCCCTGAGAGCCTGAAATCCGGGGCACCTCTTCTTCTGGCCGCTGCTCTGGACGCTCCTCCTGTGATGGCCGCTAATCTGTGGTTTGTCTGTGCCCCCTGTCTGGTGGGCACGGGGTGGGCGTCAAAGGATGGGGAAGACTGCTCATCACCCTCCAAGCGTCTTCTGTCGCGGAGGTGGTCCTAGGAGCTGGCCCGCGGGGCGGGTGGCTCACCACTCTGAAGACACTGAGCTGCTAGGAGGATAACCGGTTGCTATTTCCCTTTTAGAATGGGGGGAGGGAGCCTGAACGAGATCGGGTGACCTTCCTCAGCTGGCTCCAGCTGGACATTAAAAGTGTCCTGGTTTGTCCCAGCGTAAAAGTCAGGATATCTGTCCTTTGCTTCAGTCAGGACCTACCTAAGGAGATGGGGCAGGTTACCCAACCCAACTAGCTCTAGCAAAAATAATTTATTGGCTTACGAAGCATTAAAAGCCAAGATATCCTTCTTTCAGGAATAGTTAGGTCCAGACACTTAGACATTATGAATAGGAATCCACCTTTCCCTTCTCCTAGGCCTGCTCTGTCTGGGTTGACACTGTCAGAAAGAGCACATCTGCCTGATACTCCCTGGAAACTGCAGAACTGCCACACAGGCTGCGAAGAGGTCGGCTCTGGCCATTTCCAAAGTCCTGAAGAATGAGGATTACAGGCCTAGGTGTTGCCTCCCTGAAACCAAAGGTGAAGTAGCCCTTGTGCTCAGCCTGAAGATGGAGTAGGGAGCTACTCCAGCATGTGCCATCGGCTATTTGAAGAAGACTAAACAAATAAAAACAACAATGCTTGTATCTTGTACAGTTGGCCAAACCGAGGCCTGGAGACAGAAGGCATCTGTCTGGGGCACATGGGTGTATTAGGGCAGGTGAGCTGGATGGGCTGGGCAGGGAGGCAGCCGAGCTTTATGACAAGGCTAGGGCCGGAGGCTGGTCCCAGTGAGGGTCGTGCCTGAGACCAGTGTCAGCAGCCTGGCCGTGGTGAAGACGAAGGAGAAACAGGAAGGCTGGGGGAGATTCCCAGCATATAGATTCGCCTTAGGGCTTAGACACTAAGACCAGTGCTGAGGCCAGTGAATCTACTTGGATTCTCACCCCATGTCCGGAGCCCTCAGGTCAGGCCCTGCATGCCTGCTGGAGGCATGCTGGGGTTCTCGGGGAGAGGGCTGCATGAGAAAACTCGGAAGGGCGAGCCCGCTCACCTGTGACTCGCTAGGGCCCGAGCAGCACTTCAGGAACCCCCTCACAGAGTGCAGCTCAAAGGAGAAGGGCAGGCCTCTCCCCAGCCCACCCTGTCTGTGAGCAAAGACTTGGGGACCACTGAGGAGCTGTTGTCATGCTGGGTGGAGTGGCGGGGCTGCTTGAAGTCAGGGCAGCGCTTGGTGGAGGAACTGAAGCCCCAGGGTGGACTTGCCGGTGGCCACCCCACAAGTCTCAAGCTATTGTGAGACATGTGAGTGAGCAGGACTCTCCCTGTGACAGGGAAGAAGGCTGTGCCTCCTGATGCCTCCTGCAGCCTCTCCCGCTGTGCCCGAGGTCAAGGCTGTGTTGAGGGTACAGCACACAGTCCTTGAACAGCCTTGAGGCCAGCAGGGAGTTCCGCTCCGAGGTGTCCCCAGCTTGCGGACGCTGGCTGCAGGAGCCGTGCCTGGACCCTGGGAGAAGACTGGGCCACCCCAGGCCGCGTGTTTCCCCAGCGCCTCCCTAGCCCGCCTCATCCATCAAGTCCCTGTGACCTGCCCTTCTCCACCTTATCTTCTCACTCCAGTCCTTGCCCAGGGACTAGTCCCAGACTGTCCGGTGCCAGGATGGAGGGTGAGTGCCCCAGGGAGCTCTCGGCTCAGTCTCCTCGGCCTGAGCCCTGCCCTGAGACACACCTCTGTGGATATTTCCTGAGGGCCTGTGTGCGCTGGGCGCTGTGCTGGATGCTGGGATCCCGCAGGGAGCAGGACACGTGGTTCTTGCGCCTCAGAGCCCACTGTTTAGAGAGAGGAGACTGAAGACTAAACCTGCACACACAAGGATAATAAGAACAAGCATTTCAGAGAATGCTAAGTGCCATGAAGCCACCAATACAAGGTGAGGTGGTAGAGTGTGTTCGGGCCTACTTTAGATGGGAGGGCTCAGGAAAGGCCTCTCTGCACACAGGGGGTCTGGGCTGAGACCTGAAGGAGGAGCCAGCCCTACAGGGTCTGTGGGAAGATGGTCCTTGCTAGAGAGGGTGGCAGGAGCAGTGACCCTGTGGCCAGCATGCATTCCTCTTTTGTGACAGAGAGGAGGCAGGTGCGCCTGGAGGAGAGGGTGGGGGCTGGGTACGGAGGCCCTGGTGTAAGCAGTTGGGGCCAGGCTGGGCCTCCCGGTGGGCAAGGAGTTGGGACTCCGTTCTCCGGGTGTGGCCCAGGGCAGGCTCCACCCCAAGCCCGTCAGTAGCCCCTCCAGCAGGAGGCGTGCTGGCTGTGACACCCAGGAGGCCTTTCCCGGCACCCCCGGGGCCTGCTTTGGCCGTCCAGTCCAGATGGCATCTCCCACATACATCTGACTCTGGGACCACCTGAATGTGTTCCTATCTGCCCAGCCCTGGGATGGCAGGGAGGAGATGGCAGGCAGGCGGCATCTGAGAAGCACACACCCTGGTCTGGGGCAGAGGCTGGGGGCGTGGGTGATGGTAAGATGCGGAGAAGGTGGGAGAAGTCAGAGGCAGCTGGGTGTGGCCAGGGTGGATGGGGGACTTGCTGAGATTTTGGGGCCAGAGAGGTACTAGGGGGCCATCTGGAGGCCGTGGGACTTGTGGTTGCAAAGTCTGGTGTGGGCCTTCATGAGGTGGAGGGAGGCGAGCCTGTGGTCCCCCCTGCCTGCCTGCGAGGGCCTTGCAGCGTGCCTTCTCCAGTGCTGGCCCACCTGCAGTGGGGGACTCAGGAACCAGATCGCACCAAGCGGGCTGCCAAGTGCTGTCACCGTAAAGTCAGGGAACAGCAAGGACAACTTCAGCCTCTGGCCAGTGCCTTTTATTAGTGAAACTCCTAACTCACCCATTCTTGGATCTGCTGAAAACTCATTGTTTCTCACGTCCCCGGAGGTCAGTGCTGCTCCCTGTATCGCTGTATCCTGTGTCGGTGCTGTAGCCTGTGTTGAGAATACAGTACAGCAGGTGCTGCGGTCACCGCCTCCGGCAGCTTCTTGAGCTGAGCGGGTCTGGTGAACATGCTCCACAGTTAGGATGAGAGCCCCAGGTGAGGCTGATGCAGGCAGAAGATGGGTCACACTTCGAGAAACGCTAATTACAAGGGGGTACAGGGTGGACCCTCCCATCTGTGATGGGCAAAATAATGGCCCCCAGAGATGCCCAAGGCCTAAACCCCAGAACCAGTGAATATGTGACCTTCCATGGTAAAAGGAACTTTGCAGGGGTTACTTTGAGCTGGGGATTACCTTGACCCAGGATCACCCTGGATTATCAGGGTGAGCCCCATGTAATCAGTGGGTGCTTAAAAGCAGAAGAGGGGGAAGAAGAGTCAGGGAGAGAGAAGTGAGTGTGGAAGCAGGGTCAGAGAGATGCTGGCTACTCTGTTAGTTCTGAGTGTGCGGCAAGGGGCCACGAGCCAGAGATGTGGGAGGCCTCTGCTGGTTGTAAAAGGCAAGAAACGAATTCTCCCCTAGAGCCTGTAGGAGGACCCAACCTTGCTGACACCTGTTTTAAGCCCAGTGAGACCCATGGGAGACTTCTGACCTACAGAACTGTACATGAATACATGTGCATGTAGCTCAGCTGGTAAAGAATCTGCCTGCAATGCCGGAGATGTGGGTTCGATCCCTGGTTTGGGAAGATCCCCTTGAGAAGGGAAAGGCTGCCCACTCCAGTATTCTGGCCTGGAGAATTCCATGGGCTGTATAGTCCATGGGGTCACAAACAGTTGGATACGACTGAGCAACTTTCACTTGTTTTGAACCAGTAAGTTTGTGGTAATTTGTGATAGTGGTAATGGGAAACTCAGACACTGTTCCACAAAAGAGGCTCAGAGCAGGCAGGCAACTTATGGAGGTGGCAGCGCAAACTGGGGGTCCAAACCCTGCAGGCTTCCCATTAACTGCCCTAGGGGCACAGTAGGAGGCAGGGAGGTCAGGATCAAGCTGCTGCCCTCGGAAGGCCCCACACTGGGGCAGAGTGGATACATATTGGGCCTTCCTTGGGAGCTCATTTACAGCACAGATGACCAAGACTTTGGACTCAGAGGGTCTGTTTGGGGACCCGGGAATCTGCATCACAGCATCACAATGATTTTGTCATTATTCAGTTGCTCAGTCGTGTCCAACTCTGTGACCCAATGGACTGCAGCACATCAGGCTTCCCCTGTCCTTCACTATCTCCCGGAGTTTGCTCAAACTCATGTCCATTGAATCAGTGATGCCATCCAACAATCTCATCCTCTGTCGTCCCCTTCTCCTCCTCCCTTCAATCTTTCCCAGTGTTAGGGTCTTTTTTAATGAGTCAGCTCTTCATATCAGGTGGCCTAAGTATTGGAGCTTCAGCTTCAGCACCAGTCCTTCCAATGAATATTCAGGGTTGATTTCCTTTAGGATGGACTGGTTGGATCTCCTTGCAATCCAAGGGACTCTCAAGAGTCTTCTCCAGCACCATGGCTTGAAAGCATCAGTTCTTCGGTGCTCAGCATTCTTTATGGTCCACCTCTCACATCCATACATGACTGCTGGAAAAACCATAGCTTTGACTATACAGATCTTTGTCTGCAAAGCGATGTCTCTGTATTTCTTTAAGGACTTTCCACAGTTTGTTGTAATGCACACAAAGGTGTTAGCAGTCAATGAAGCAGAAATAGATGTTTTTTTTTCCCGGAATTCTCTTGCTTCTTCTATAGTCAAATGGATGTGGTCAAAATGGTTTACTGACCTTCAGTTGTTTAGACTTTCCAGGAAGATAAAAACACAGAAAGTGGTTTTAGGACAGCCAAATATCCTAAATGTGATGCTGGCAACCTTGATCGTGTAAAAGTGTGTGTGAGCAATGTGGCAGTGGGAGCCCAGGTTTAGCACCCGTCTGGTCAAGCGGGACCTCTGGAGGCTGCCACAGAGGCAGGGACATGTGGCTGAGGCTGCAGTGTAGCAGGTTCAGTCTTGGGAGAGGTACAGGCTCGGCGGTGGCTGGACTAGAGTGGAAGCCAGGAGCATCACGGCCACTGCTGACCGTCTGCTGGAGATGAAGCCAGCAGGACTGGAGACTCCTCTGCCCAGGCAGCCTCTTGTCCTCAGTCATCAGCTCCGCTGGATTAACCATTTGTGTCCTATTAATGGGACACAGGAGCCTCTCAGCAGGTGTTCGTTGAAAAATGATGGCATTGCAGGGGAAGCGGGGACAGAGACGGTCCTGGAAGTGGGGGCTCCGGGGAAGCATCTTGGCCCAGATGAGGACTCCCAACATAGTTCTGCAGAAGGGTGCGTTTTGATTTTGTTGCAGAGGTGGCGGTGCGTCCTTGGGGAGTGGGGCTTTTTGCCTCCAGCTAGCTGCTGGGCTGTTTCTAGACCAGGGGACTGGGAAGAGACTTGGCCAGGTTGCCTGCCTGCGCTCAGCCACAAGCCCCGCCTCCTCCCATTGTCACCGTCGTGACCACACCAGTTTCTCCTGGTCTGATGGTCCAAGGTGGTCTCTCATGGCTATTGTACCCTGTACTTCTCTGTTAGCTCAGCCATGCACAGTTGACCATTTGATGTCTCCTGCTCTTCTCAAAATAAGCCTTGCCACTCCCCAAAGGAAGTTCTTTTCTATTCAGTTTTCTGGGAGTTTAAAACTAAACAAAAATACGTTATTTATTGAAACAATTGTGTTGAGTCACCCTTGAATTTGGAAATAAACAACACAATCTTGGAATCAGCTAGCATCCATTAAAAGAGCATAATCTTGATCTGTGTTTATCCAATTTTGGGATCAAGATTAATCCAGCCTAAACTGAGTTGGGTGGCTTTGAAAACATAGATAAGATAGTGTGTTTCTTGAAAATTTAGTAAAAACTGGTCTGTAAGATTGATTTTTCCTGGAGAGTCTTTGGGGGTGGGAGGGGAACTCTTTGACTATCACTTCCTCTGATGGCCGCTGATCCAGTCAGGTTTTTGGGAGGCCATGCAGCACACAGTGGCTAAGAGCATGGTGCTTGTACCAGCTGCTCTGGCCTCAGACCCCCTTTCTACATACTCTGGCTGTGAAATTTATGACTTCTTCCTGCCTCCATTTCCCAAATTTTAAGATGGAGCTGATACCAACCTCATAGAACTGTTGAGAAGATTAAATAAGTTCATATGTATGATGTGCTTAGTATCAGCATTCTTGAGACAATTTTAGTGCTTAATTTCTAAAGAAATTTTATCTATTTCTTGATGATTATCACATTTGTTAGAATACTATAGATTTTTTAAAAATGTCTATCATAACTTGCCTTTTCCACTTTGTCTGTTACTTACATATTCTTTATTTCTTGATCATATTGCCAGAAGCTTGTCTAGCTTATTAATCTTTCAGTGTCACTGATTTTTTTCCTCTCATGTTTATTTTCTAGTTTCTTGTCCCTGCCTTTATTATTCGTCCTCTTCTCTGCCTTTGAGCTTGCTCTGTTGGTCTTCTGTCAATCTCTTGAACACTGAACTCATTTAAAAAAAAAACAAACTGTCCTTTCTTGATAAGAGTATTTAAGCCTTAGCTGGATCAAATTGGGTATGCAGTGCAATTCTGAGGTCATGCACTTTTAGGAATTTCTTAATTTTCCTTATGATTTCCTCTCTCACCTAGATTGCTCTGTGTATTGTTTAGTTTCCAGATGTCGGAGATCTTTTCAACTTTATTGAATTATCATAGAAAAACAGTTGTGTATTTTTAACTTTGGAATTTATTGAGCATCCTCTGTGACCTGGTATGTAGTCAAGTCAGTTTCCTGTAAATTCTATGTGTGATCAAAAGGAATTTACCTATTGGGTATAATATTCTTTATTATGAGTCCAAGTTAAATAACTGGCATTTCAGTCTTCTAGATCTTTGCCTGACCTGTCAGTTTACTGAGAAGAAAGTATTCAGATTTCCACTATCTTTTAAATTTGTTTATACCCTTGGTACTGTCAATCATTACACACACACACACACACACACACACACACTGATTTTTTAGTTAAAGTTCTCTTAAGTCATGTGGACACATTTACCTACATGAATGATGCCTATTATAAATACTACTAACATATCCACACAGTATTTATTTACATGTTTATGTGTACTTGTAATGGTATACATTACAAGTATACCATAATGTACACCTGTCTTTGTCTGTAAAGTACATGCATAAACCTCATTATTCATGAGTTTACAAACATTAAAAAATCAGGCTGAATGTAAAAACAATCAGTGGAGGGAAATTAGTGACTCTGTATCAGCATAAATGTGTGTACATAGGAACATATGCGTCTATATAAGTGGATGTGCATGCATGCATGTATACTAACTAACTGTATGTATGCAGACAAAGAAGGCTCAAGCACATGTGGTAAAATGTTAACCTTTGGGGAGCTGGGATAGGGAAGGATATACAGGAACCTTTTGGACTATTTTTGCAACTTTTCTATCAGTTCAAAATTATTTCAAAATAAAAAGTTGAAAACTTAATGCAGTCAGTCAAAAAGACTGGAAGGAATCAGCTTCTCTGGCCCCAGTTATAACAATCGAAGTCTCAAAAAGAATGACTGGGAACACTCAAAGATAGAAATATAAACCCTCTTGTGACACCATTTGAGGTGGCGGTTGAACCCACAGCTACTCTGAGCACAGGATGCCGAAGGGAAGGAACAAGGTGTGGACCCTGCCTCCCCGCCAGAGCTGATGCTAGGGAGCTCTCCCCGACAACAGCGTGGTGGTGAAAGATATCAACGGGATGAACGAATGGTGAAATTCCTGCTCACGGCAAGGATTATCACCCGAGGTTAATAACTGCATGAGGTATATGGTGGATGGGCCCCCTGCCAAAGCAAGCCTGTGTGGACGGCTTTCTAGTTACGAGACAAAACATGACTAGGTGACAGAGGACTGGACCGGCACTATCCTGAACCCAGAGGTCAACTTAGCATCATTGACAGTGGGTCAGAAAGATGCTAAACGTCTTCTCCTGGGAGTTCATATAAAGTAGCGAGCAGCCCCCAACGTTTCTGGCAACTGGGACAGGTTTTGTGGAAGACAATTTTTACACGGACCAGGGAGGGGGATGGTTTTGGAATGATTCAAGCGCATTACATTTATTGTGCACTTTATCTCTATTATTATTACACTGTCATAATGCAGTAAAGAGAGCGATGGGAGGCGGCTGTAAACAGATGACGCTTCACTCACTTGCCTGCCACTCACCTTTGGTTCCCCAGTCAATGGTCCAGTTGGGGACCCCTGACCCTTTATATATATATATAAAGGACACAATGTCACTTAAATTTCATTTAAATAACCAAAGATGCCAGTGAATCTATCAAACCTTTGGATATGCTTTCTAGATCCAAAAAAGATCAGAGACAGAGGGCATGGTCAATGCAACCCCGTGGAAGCAGCCACACAGAGCTAGAAGGTGCATGCACTGCCGGCTGACCCGCCTGACAAGGTAGGTTGGTGTCATGGAGGGTTAGGAGAATCTTAAGAACATGACAACCAGAAACCAGACACCAGGAATGCAAGGGCTTCAGCTGGATCCTGGCAGGAGACACTAGTAAAGGACTCTGGGACACTGGGGCAATCCCAAGGCCCTGGCTATTAAACCTGATGAAGGCTTACTGATATGGGCAGCTGGAGACCATTAACTGAAAAATGAAGGCTATAAAAGGCTCGCACAGTATGACTGGGCTTCCAGGTGGCAGTAGTAGTTAAGAACCTGCCTGCCAGCATTAATGCAGAAGACATAAGAGACTCAGGCTCGATCCCTTGGTGGGGAAGTTCCCCTGGAGAAGGAAATGGCAACCTACTCTAGTGTTCTTGCTTGGAAATTCCCATGGACAGAGAAGCCTGGCAGGCTACTATCCATGGGTTCGCAAAGAGTCAGACTTGACTGAAATTACTTAGCATGCACACACAGTATGACCTCACTTGGGCAAAAAGCAAAACAAAAAATCATCTAGATATGTATGTGTCCATAGGAAACGATCTGCAAGTACAGTTAAGTGTCAAGAGTGGTCATCTCCAGATGGGGTAATATGGTATGTTTAGTTTCTCATTCTTGATTATGTTTTCATATGTGTGTGTACACACACACACACACACACACACACACACACGGGAGTAGATGAGAGAGGAGATAACAGAAGGCAGAGAAAACGAAACTGCTTTTCAATTTCTCTTGTGAAGGGGAGCAACTCAAGGGTGATGCTGGGTTAAGCAGCTTTTTCTTTTTCATGCAGGTTAACACAAAGACGACAAATGATGGAGCAGAGGAGGGGGCAGTGACGACACGGGATAGAAGTGATTGTAGGAGTGAATTTCCTGACGGGGTGGGGTCAGCTTTCATGGGAGCAGGGACAGTCAAGGTAAGGAGGGTGGGCAAGGGGAGAAGAGCCAGACCTTCACTTGTTGCATTCTATTCCTGTCACGTACGGTGAGGGAGCTATCTTTGAGAATACCTGAGAGCAAACACATACAACCGAGTGTTCTGGTCAAATAGTTATTTTTTAATAGCATCTTTAGAATGATAATTTGCTGCTTAAAACACCCAAGAAATCAACTTTACAACAGAGAGCTGGACAAACTTAACTATTAGTGAGATTCTATATTGCAACTCTAGCCTAGATTAAAATCAAATAAAAACAAAGTAGCATGACTGCTATTAGGTGAAAAATGGCAAGGTATGCTCAAGGGGATAAACTTCTAAAGTCATGCCCAGCTTGAGCCAGGGTGTGCTGGATGGACACAATTCTCTAATTAATAGCCACTGGAGGGCAGCTTGGCCTCTTGTGGAATCACGATTGTGTACTCTTCAAAACACGCCACTTTATTCTCATGGAAACAAAATAAGGCCTTGCTTCTTGTTTCTGCCTTGCTCCTCTGCCCATGCACCGACCTGTGAATACTGAGACAGCAATTGGTCACACTTCTTAGTGGCCACAAGATCTCAAAGGTGTAGAAATGAAGAGGAAGCTGGCACTTACTACCTGATCCTCCCAAGAGAAAATAAAAAAGCATAAACTCTGAAAACCAGTGCAATTGCCAAATTAATTTGTTTTCTTGAAGCAAGGAGATCAGAGGCAGCTGCTGGAGTGTTTTCATTATTTCTGTACAGTGTCCATCAAGATGCTTCCTCCTCTCCTTGTGGCAAGATAACACTCCACAAGAGCTGAATGACAAGCCACTGGGCTAAGAATTCTAGTGAGGAGGCTGGCAAAGTGCTGGCCACGTGGCTCTGATCACTGTGACTGCTAGGTCTGCCTCAAGACTCGGTCCTGCCACTCAAGGCAGCCAGTCCCCTTGTGGATAAATTTTCAGAAGGCCTGTTCATGCTCATAAAACTGATGGATGTCACAAGCTGGCGGACAGAATGCTTATGAGGAATGACAGCATCAGGATTAACCGCAGCATCACAAAACCCAGTCATTTTGCTAGACTACAGGCCCCTAGTGGAATGTGGCTTTTAAAGTTCAGGCCACCTGAGACTGTGTTCATGAGTGTGGCCTCGCTTGGAGGGTGCATGCTCAGGCTGTGCAGAAATATTACATTCACATCTGCATCCATAATTTTAGGGTGCCCTGAGGTGATGAGGCTCTGGGTGCTTTTTCATATGAAAGAGGGTTGTGAGAACTTTGAGTTTAAGCTAGAGAAGGAAGGACTTGGAGCGTATCTTTTCAACTAATGTGTAAAGCCTGTGTCATAAAAACGGGTCAGACTCACTCTATTTCACCCAAAGGAAAGACCTTGGACCAATGGGTGGAAGTTGTGGGAACCAAGTTTTCTGTTCAGTTGGAGAACTTATTTTGTCTTTACTTTATTATTTATTTTTCCTTTTGGCCGCTCAGGGTCTTCCTTGCTATACCCTGGCTTATAGTGGGGGACCAGGGCTACTGCCCAGCTGCAGTGCACAGGCTTCCTCTCACCGCAGGGGCCTCTTGTCGTGGGCCGCGGGCACTAGGGGCACAGGCTCCAGCAGTTGTAGCTCATGGGCTCGAGTGTGCGCCTGGTAGCTGTGGTCCACAGGCTCAGCTGCCCCGCAGCACGTGGGATCTTCCTGGATCAGGGGTCGGAACCATGTCCCGTTTACTGGCAGAATTCTTAACCACTGGACCACCAGGGAAGTCCCAGTCTAACAGTCAAAACTATAAAAAAAAAAATGCAGTGGGAGGAACATTCTCTTCATTAAAACCATCTGAGCAGAGGGTGGATAACTTCTTCAGTGCCATGAATGGCAATGTGAACTGGAGAACCTCTTTGTCCATTCCTGTTCTCGATGAAATCGAAGTGCATACACAGAATAGAGCCAAGACTGTACTTCAAAGCTCAGCACAGAACTACTTCTTTACAATGAAGAGCTGCATTTAATCCTATCTATGTTTCTATGAATTCTGCATTATAAACCTACAGTTCCTATGTTGCAGCTAAGTTCATCATGTGGAAGGAATGCTGGAAACAACCCATTTCACTGAATTGAGTCTCTGTATGCTCTTTTGAACACAGAACAAGAATGTAAACTTGTGCTGGGGCTGAGAGTAAAAATGTCCCTATCTACACCCAAGGTCTGCTGCAGAAGTGTCGGAACCATTTAGAGCAGAGAAGATCAGGAGAACCTCCTGCAGGCTCTGCGTCCCTCTAAGATCACAAAGCATCTCGATACTGCTCCTAGAAAGGGGCTCTTAACATGATGACCACCGGGTTCAGGATTCCTCAGGAAGTGTGGCTAAATATTCTGCTCATGGCCTTTTTCTAAGGGGGGGGGGGGGTCACAGTTTTCATTAGACTCTCAAGGGTGTCCATGACTGTGAGAACAGGAGGCCCGTGTGAGTGAGACAGCATTCTGTAGACTCTCAAGGGTGTCCATGACTGTGAGAAGAGTGAGGCCCGCGTGAGTGGGACGGTGTTCTGAGGGTGGCCCTGTGGTGCCCTTCCCGACGTGGCTACAGCCTCAACTGTTGTGCAGGGGGTTGGAAAACTGATTCTGAATTTCCCTTCCAATGCTAAAGTCCCACAGCACAGAAATGGCAGAGCAAACACCCTTGTTCACAAGGGCTCCCTGGGCCCTGGGGAAACAGTGCCCAGTGGCTGCTGTGACAGGCATATCCTCTTAAGTCATGATCACATTTGGCTTCAAAGAGATGTTACTGGCCACTTGGTTGCCACTTTGTTACTGTTATTATTGATTTGGTTACCAACTTTCCTGATGAAAGACCAAAAATATCAAATAACTGCCTTACTGCCAAAGGTAAGCTTACACTTAAATACAAAATACAATCTTCAGGAAAGTATACAGTAAGTTATTTTGAAATACTGATTCTGGGAAAGATCGAAGGCAGGAGGAAAAGGGGACAGCAGAGGATGAGATGGTTGGATGGCATCACTGACTTGATGGACGTGAGTTTAAGCAAACTGCGGGAGATGGTGAAGGACAGGGAAGCCTGGAATGCTGCAGTCCATGGGGTCGCAAAGAGTTGGACACAACTTAGCGACTGAACACCACACCTCTTCCCATTAAAAAAAATCCCACAAAAATCTATATGGACCATTTAAGTCAATAAATTTAAAGTATTTCAGTACTATCGACATTGAAAGTGGGAAGGGGGAGGCTAAGAGAAATGGAGCCCAGGTGTTTTCCTATTTCATGTGCCTATATAGTCACAGAGCCAGACATGACTGAAGGACTTCCACTTTCCTTTCCTAGAGATCTTTAAAAATAAGACTGATACTCACCCATCTGGAATGACTCTAGTCCTAGCAAGGAGAAGGTGAGCCACTGTGCACCCTTCTATTCCTGTGGTTTTAAGTAGTAAAAATCCTAAAGTACCTCAAAGCCAGAAGCAAAATGAAAGAGGCTCATCCATGCAGAAAACCACAAGCACGCAGGCACTGTTAAGGATTTTAAATGATACAAGGAAAGACTGATTGGTCGATTCTTCTGGCCACTCTTGTGAGAAAACAATTACTCCAAATATTCAATCTTGCAGTGCATGTTTCTGGAAATTTAGATTCAGGAAGTTGCAGAATATTTTCAGTAAGGGATCTAACAGAAATATTTTGCTTTTCAATTTAAAAACATCTATTAATATTGACTGGGATGACAACACTCCAATATCTGCTTGTGTTCATGTTAAATCTGTAACCAGAGATGGTGATGTAGAAATACACAGTCACATGTCATTTAAAAACACACAAAAATTGGACATGTTATATACTTCTCTTTTAAAATGTATTTGTATTATTTTCACCAATCAAAACACACATAATATATTTTATTATAAAACATTAGGCAATGTTACTTTTGAGATATGCAATCTGAAAGGTCACACCTGTGTTTATTACCAGTATGAAACACCAGAGGAGTTACACTAGAAATCAACCATGTGAACTCATCATGTATCATTACCATGACTTTATACAGCATCAAATCTGGATAAAACAGTCTCCCATTCAGTGTTTCAACTTTGGACTCTGGGTGTCAGCAGGGGCCTACCAAGCATTTTCTCCTTTAGGATGCGGCTCTGAGCGCCATGGTGCACAGGCAAGCACAGAGCCTTGATTCTGTCTCCTGTCTCCACAGCTGATCAACGCTGAGCAGGATGTTTCTAGAATGCTCTCCTACTCTGACAGACTGTCTGCTCTCTGGAGCCTGCACTTGAAATCAAGACCTGACAGGGGAGGCAGTCATTTCCTTTTTAACAAAAAACTAAGTCAACAAACAAAATGAACCTAGTCCAAATTCCAGGCTAATAATAAATTACCTGGTTTATAAAAATATGTGTCCAAAATAGTTACTTCCAGGGTTGTGTACAATATAAATTACAAAAATAAAATAGAAAAGATGAAAAATTGAGCACATTTTTCAGTTCTTTATCCAACACCAGAATTTATCCATGGAGAGCAGTGTGGAACCATCTGCACTGCACCAGGTCCCTAGCACGTCCCAGCTCAGGAGGGAGGACCCTGAACTGGGGTGAGGTACTTCTGAGGAGCTCTGCGGTCTGCAGCACCGTGGCCTGACGGGGTGCACTCATCACTTGCTGACGGAAGGTGGTCTTGGCAGAAAACCCGTCCACACCATCGTGGACTTCATCCGTGAACAGAGGAGGAAGCAGTGAGCAGAAAGTCCCTGGGCATGGCACCTAGCTCCACTTGTAAACGCCACCTGGCTGGATGCAGTCACCCAGTGGGCCTTCCATGTGCCCTCCCGTTCCTCTGCTGCATATCGTAAGCTGAGGACAGACAATGTATTTTTACAACTCTCCCCTTTCCTTTTCTTGTCAAGGATAGATTTAGTAAAGTCTTTTTAAGGAATGTGTATTAGGTCATTTTAAGATGTGTATATACGTACAGCGATAACTTTCTTCACTATACCATCAGGCCTCTGAAGCCAAATAATCCTCAGCTATGTAACAGGTGTTTCTGCCCCAATCCAAGTTAGTATTCCATCTTACAGCTGAACATGTCTAAACATCACAATAGAAAACTATTTATTACTTCAATATTAATTTTGTTCATCAAGGGTTCCAGTTTCCAGTGATAAGACCAATAAGATACAAATGGTATAGAGAGAATCATATATTTTAGATAATATTTATAATAAACTTTCTTAACAAAGTTCCTCCTCAGAACACATTCTATAGAATGTGACAATGTTGACCCAATAGCTTCCAAAATAACTGAACAAAAGGTATGAATCTGCAGTAGAATAAGCCCAGGGGAAAGCATCACGAGCACAGGTAGCCGTGAGTGACCATCATAACTCCATCTCTGCAACGACACTTCAGTACTCAGGATCTTACTGAATCTTGAATAATTTCCATATTAGTCTGAAAGTATCAATTTCAGGTGAGCAGCTTAAAATCAGGAAATGTTTACCAGTTAATAATTACCCTTTAGGACAGTTCCTCCCTATCCCTCAGAAGGTCTCCCCTCCGAAAAAGGAACTGCCTCCACAAACTGGAGGACGACCACAAACAGGCATTCTGAGTCAGCCTGCTTCCGAAAACAGACCAAAGGGGGTTTGGGTGGTTTCTCTTGTGAAACAAAGTCGAGGAAGAATGCTGTGTTGGAAGAGGGAAACTTTGCCTTGTGAAATCATGTATCTTACCCTAGAGGAGGTAAGATAGGACCCAGTCCAGGCGCAAGCAAAACAAGCACTCAGCAAGTGACTGCCATCATCTTTAGTGATCACTTCGTAAAATTCTACTCTAACAGCAGGTGATGGGGTCAAGAATCTATTTGCCATCATGTGATTGACATGGGTGTTAGGTGGCTAATAAAGAAGATGAAGTTCTAGGTAGCACTTCAAATTAGTAAGTCCAGAAGACCAAGGAAAAAGAGATGGCGTAGATAGGATTTTAAACATATATATGTTTTAAGCAGCGTAAAACAAAACTTAAAATGCTATCATGCAGTAAAACTGAATGTACAGTCATCCAGACTAACACAATTTAGAGAAAACAAAGTATCCTGGTCTTAGCAGTGATAATTCTCAGCCTAAAACATGACAAATTAAAGAAAAGTTACATTTTTTTAATTATATAGATTTAATTATATTCCTTCTGAAATATGAAAGAAAGTTAATTCATACCCTAAAAGAAGGTAAGATATTATAATATGATGGTGGCCAATTAATACATATAAATCTATTTTTTTCTGGACAAACACAAAATTACTTAAGAGGGTTAAGAGACAATTCTAGAAGCAGCACTACCTTGAAGATTATTTGGCTTTATAAATACTGATTTCCAAAGTGCTAGAGGGCAAATCCAAGCAAGCATTTGTGTCATGCATATAAATCCCAACAGTTACTGAAGATGGGAAATGATCACTATTACCGCACAACTTAAAAAAAAAATTCATATATTCTAATTGCTCACCTGAAATGACCTTGAACAAAATTTCTAAATGTGTGGTTTGTACTTTTTTTTCTTTAGACATAATCTGCTTCATTTTATAATCTAAGCAAGGCAAGCCTAGTACAACTGAGTAGGGGCAAGGCATCATGTTTCTTACATGCAGAACATGGAGTTTTTCTATTTGGTTCCATCAACTCCCAAGCATTTCACGCCCATGGAAGTGAGAGTTCCTTCACTGATGACAAGCTTGCTATTTCTAACTTATCATCGACAGCCTTCCAGGGGTCCTGTCGAGGCATCCAGGCTGCTGTCTGTGTCCGAGGCCAGCGTCTGCTCCGTGGACATGGATGAAATGTCATTGATGGACGAGGACTGAGAAGGAGTGGCGTTGCTGCTTACTGCTGCATCTGTGCTAAGAAAACCAAACATAATAAAACCTGAGGCACGACACTGCTGCAGATCCATGCAGTGAGACTTCAGGCCATTCCTCAGCTCTGTCCTTTTGCAGTTTCCTATACTATTACCATGAACAAGAAGTTAGTTGACTCTACATTTTGAACTTTTTGTGGAGTCTTTGTTTAGGCTCAAAATCCCAAATAGTCCTCTGTCTTTCACTGCAATATTCTCTTTCTTCCTGGTGGCTAAATATCACACACATGTATAGTCATGTTAACTACTTTAAAAATACCTTCTGGTTTTAAAAAGATATTAAAAGAAGATTGTTGAATTTATCCTAAAACTATCAGTATCACAAAAGGCTCAAGATCAAGTAGGATTCAAGTGTCATCAGACACTTCAACTATAATCATAAACACTTAATCCAAGGGAGAAAACAGCAACCTTTGAAGAATCCTTTTGCAAAAAAAAACCTTCTAAAAGAAGGAATGATACAAACAAGAAAAAAACAGGAACAAAATTTAGTGGGCTCCTGTTCATTTTATTTTTGCCTTCTAAATCCCCAAAAGTGACATTTTAAGGCAAATGAAACTAACTTATTTCCTACTATCTATATTTTAGCCTGGTTTGAACAAAAACAAAACATCCAGGGTCTCAGAGGTCAGTCTTAAATTTGTGCTTAGTTAACTATAAGCACCTAAATTTGTATTGAAGTTATATAATCTCCAGACACTTGACACATGTCATGCTGAATATAAAATTCAAGAATAAGAAACAGCCCCGTATGTATTTACATGTGTGTGTGGTGTGCATGTGCTTTCCAGTGGGAGTGGAGTGAATACAAATGTGAAATAAACATAAGTAAAGAATTTTGTTTAAGGTAGAGCCTTATAGTGGAGAAGGAAATGGCAACCCACTCCAGTACTCCTGCCTGGAAAATCCCATGGACAGAGGAACTTGGTAGGCTACAGTCCATGGGGTCGCAAAGAGTCAGACATGACTGAGTGATTTCACGTTAACTTTCAGAACCTTAGAGACGGAATTATAAGTTAATACCATATATATTATGCCTCTAATAGTCATACAGCTTCCTAATTGTTAGTCAGATGTCTACCACTAAGAAGATCAAGCAGAAAGATGGGAGAATTATATGAACAATTTTCTTGAAAGACAACCAAATTCCACTTTATCTAGACTCATATTAATTTTCTTTTTTAATTGGTTGGGGGCAGTATAAAGAAGGTCATGCACGTTGAAAAAACTTTAAATTCAATTCCCCTATCTATAAATGAAAATGACAGTAGCTGTTACAAGGATGAACCAAGAATGTTCACAATACAGTTAGTTCCCTGCCTGGCATCAGTAAAATGTTAGCTGCCACAATCAGAACAGACCAAAAAGAGAAACTATTTCACACAAGTTTTCAAATCCAATGCTGGTCAAGCTGGCACTTAAAAAAATAGAGACAGAAAAGTATTATGCAATCAAACTATTAAAGCAATCACTAACCTGAAGGTTGATCTTTCACAACACCATTCTTGCTTCTTTCTTCCCAATCCATTACTTCTTTGTAAATTAGCTCTTCAAATAGAAATGCAAGTTAGAATGCTTCATCAGTTTCTCTGCATCTCTAAACCCTGCTTCCAAATAAACTGGAACCACTCCAAGGGCACTGTGATGTACTATTTTTAAATGTGATAGACGGACAACTAATAGTTTACCTAGACCAAAATATAATTTGATTCCTTGTATCTTTTCAAACCAATTATAGCTTTTCAACCAACCAATTAAGAAGGCCATAAAAGTAGGGTAGTTCTGGATCCACTAGTGGGTTTTACCAAGTTGAGGGTAGGGAGAGAGTGAAAGAGAGACATGGGGAGTAGGGAAAAGAAGGAAAGGTACTAGCAAAGTGACTCTAACAGAACAGTTGAACTACTGGATATTCTCACATCTTTTTGCACAGTTTCTCCTCCACCATTGTGGTTCTTCAAATGTAACTCCTCCAGACTGGCCAGAAACTGGTCTAGTTACCTAAGTTTTTTCTTGGTTTAATCTCAGTTTTCCTCAATTTTCATGTGTCAGAAGAACTGCCTATTAAGTAAGATATCAGCAGCTGCCTAAAAGTTTGGTATTCATGAAATAAAATTAGCACATTGCAGGCACCGAGTGAGGCCTGTGGGTGTGCATGCGGCAGGTCACCAGCATCCCTGCTCCCAGGGGCTCTTGGGCAGGACACACCACCATGTTTGACTTGCGCTGACCACAGTTCTCAACTATTACTGATTCTGCTTTTTAATGAAATATTTTTAGTTTAACCTCTTTATTACTGGTTTAGTTTCTTGTGGGTTAGAGTGGTAATAATAACCATTTGCATATTTTTGATCTGCAGTTTGCCCCAAACTCTTATTTTAAAACGTGTGTGTAACTACAAGGCTCACAAATACAGCAGAAGTTCACATGACCCCAGTGGGGTCTCTCATATCTGCTTTATGGGGGCCTGTGAACTGGGGTTAGTCAATAGCTTGCAACATGTTATCAAGTTAAGCCTAATACACTTACTGAATTTAGTTTACAAATCAAGATTTGATAATGTGAGATGTGTGAAAAACCTTTGTTTTTGACTTCTGAAGCAAATATGGAATTCATACATGTTCCTCTCTAATTCTGTTATCTTCAAGTTCTTTTTCTGCTGGGAAGTGGGAAGAGAGAGGATAAGGGGTGAAGGGTCTCCACCCCTCCCTTAGAAAGGCTACTGTCAAAAAGTGTTAAGTTGCCCCATTTCAAAAAATGTGTAACAATCAAAATAAATTCCATCTTTACCTTTCCATTCTTCAATTGCATGTTCTCTCTCTTCCAACTGGGCATCATAAATTTGAGGTGGTGGCTAAAAATTAAATTTTACAGGTAAAGTTAATAGTTAAAAAAATAATGGGGCATGAAGAAAATTAATCACTTGTAAGACTGCTACAATATTTATAAAAAATAATAAAATAAAATATTTATAATATTGATGCAGTGTCATTCAATATGTAGCTTAAAGATTTCTTTGTAAGTATGATATTTACATTGGTTTCAAAATCAAAATAATTATGGGAAAATTAACCAAAAAAGAGACCTATTATAGTCCTGCTAATAATTACACTCTAAGGACATCTGCCCAAATGTAATTATAAAATTAGCAATCACAGGCTGCTTCCTAGAGATCCATTCTGGACAAGGTACTGTGCTAGGAAATACAGAAGCTGCAAAATATATCTCATTTATATTTCTTCCTGTGAGAACTCCCAAATTAAAAAAAAACAAAAACAAAAACAAACAAACAAACAAAAAAGAACTCCCAAATTCAGTCCCCAAATCATACGTGGACTGCTTCAAAAATTTACTTAAGATCATGTTTGTAAATCAAATTATTTTCATATAAAACAATGAATAAAATGGTGGTTAAATACACAGGACAAAACCTAAAAATGAGTATGTGAATGTGAACGTGAAAGTCACTCAGTCGCGTCCAACTCTTTGCAACCCCATGGACTATATAGTCCCTGGAATTCTCCAGGCCAGAATACTGGAGTGGGTAGCCTTCCCTTCTCCAGAGAATCTTCCCAACCCAGGATAGAACCCAGGTCTCCTGTATTGCAGGCAGATTCTTTACCAGCTGAGCCACAAGGGAAGCCCAAGAATACTGGAGTAGGTAGCCTATCCCTTCTGCAGCGGATTTTCCCGACTCAGGAATCGAATCAGGGTCTCCTGCATTGCAGGCAGATTCTTTATCAACTGAGCTATCAGGGAAGCCCAATAATGAGCATGCCACTACGTAATTATTTAACTTTCAACTAAAGACCATTCATACCAAGGATGCTACAGAAAAATGCACATGAGCACCACACTCAGAAGTGGAACTTCTCTAATAGGTACCTCTGGGGAAGGATGAACAGACCTGTGATTTTCAACAAGTTTCTTAGCTTGACTGGATACCTAAACAAGATAATAAAAGCAAAACCCAGGCACAGTACCAGGTACACAAATGGATGCCTAAAAAAGGTGATACTATGATCACACGTCAGCATCGACATAAATGACAATTCTATCACCACAGCATAAGCATGTTTACTCCTGAGGTACTCAGGGTTCAGCCCCAGTAACGAGTCCTATAAGGGGTTGGATCCCTCTGTACGGCCTCAAAGTAATCAGGAGTCCTCTTAACCTTAAATCTTTGTGTAGCCACTTCAGATTGACAGACAGAAGATCCAGCGAAATGTATGCCCTGCCTTTACACACAACTCTATTCAAAATAGATGCTTACCGCTTCTGCTTCAGCAGGGTCATACCAAACAGTGATATAAGGGTGACGCAAAGCTTCATCTACAGAGATTCGCTTGTCGGGATCTATGACTAACATTTTTGATAATAAGTCTCTGGCTTGACTTGCTAGGGTAAAAACAAATATTAGATTAATAAAGTAACAATTTTAACTTGAGAATCACACAATAAAGAACTAAATGTGACAGCACAGACAGAACAAAAATATACTAACTCTGAGAAACTGGTGATAGATTCAGGATTATTAGTCTCTTTCTCTAAGAGGAAATCAAGCAGCCATTTCCACTACAAATCAGGCTTTCAAAGGTGCTTTTGGCCTGAGTATGGGAGGGGGAAGGACAGGGCATAAAGCTGACAAACCATGGACAGGGAGGATACAGGAGCTAAGCTGAGGGTGGTGCTGCCGAGTGCAGGCATGAAGCACAGGCAAGCCTTTTCTTTTGATGCCACATCAGAGTGAAATTGAACAGACTGAGCCGCACAAAGATTCCATATTTGCGTCATACAGACATTTCACAGATATCTCTGCTTTGCCTGTGCTGAGCTTGGTCGCTCAGTCGTGTCCGACTCTGCAACCCCATGGACTGTAGCCCACCAGGCTCCTCTGTCCTTGGGACTTTTCAGGCAAGAACACTGGAGTGGGTAGCCATTCCCTTCTCCAGGGGATCTGTCCAATCCAGGGATCCAACCCAGGTCTCTTGCACTGCAGGCGGATTCTTTACTGAGCCACCAGGGAAGCCTTCTGCTTTGCCTACCTGTATATAATGTACACTTTTAAAAAAAATCTAGAGATTAGTAGTTAGAAAAAAATTCAACAAGCTCAATAATTTGGTTAAATACAAGGCTCACCTAGGTTTCAGCAATTAAAATTCACAGGTGGGACCTCTCTGGTGGTCCAGTTGCTGAGACACTGCACTCCCAGTGCAGGGGGACCAGGTTCAATCCCTGGTCAGGGAACTAGAGCCCACACGCGGCACCTAAGAGCTTGCATGCCACAACCCAAGACCCCACATACCACAGCTAAGACCCGGGACAGCCAAATAAATACTAAACCAAATAAAGTTCACATATGTAGGCAAAGGAGAGATGGAACTCTTCTGAATGAGGCACAGTTTGTCTTGATGTAGAGAAAATAAATCTATTATTTTCCCTTAAAATACATTTTAGTGATGGGCACAGGATAAGGGGAGAAGGCCTTTTAAAATTTCTGACTCTTCAAATGGGTGAGAATCTTTATTCAAGTATTCTTTATACCTGATAACAGTTTGAATTCCATTTGCCGTAACTAATATAAGAATTTTTCAGACTATGTAAATACTGTGACCAGAGGCTTCAGTTTTGTCCCTTTATTGAGGACAAAACTTCGAGGTCTTTAAGCTTTCTTTCTGAAATGCCTTCATTCTAGCCTATAAATGACTTTGAGGGTTTTCAACTATTTCATCTTTCAGTTTTCACAGATTTTAGAATGCAAACATAAAAAAAGCTTCACCAGATAATGAAAACAAGTATAAGAAAAAAAGGATATCTTACTTTTAATTTTGTCTCGTTCAGATTCTGATGGGAATATCCAATCTGGAAAGAGTTCTTCAAATTTGATTCCAGGATACTTTGGTCTGTTTTCTACATAATTCCTCACAGTTGGCTGAAGTTTCTTCATGAAATCTGCAGATGGTGTTCCTAGCTGCTCAATAACTTTATTCCACTGATCAATATCTAAGGAGTCTCTTGAGGAAAATACAACTGAAACGCCTTATATTCATATTACATAAAGTTGCATCATTCAAAGAGAAACTTAAATTATACTTATCAATGAATAATTAATCAGGCCAGCTCACTGGGTCAGCAGAAGCATTCTGAAATAATATTCAAATAAGGTTTGGGTTTCTAATTAAGACTATTTAAAAAAACAAACTCTGCACCATGTGAACTCTGGGCACAGTTTATTAAATCAACACAATGAAGTCTTTATGGCTTCCTATTCTATATCAAAATTATCTTGAAGCTGAAGAATACCTATGACTGAAAGGCTTAAACATGAAAGTAGGTAATAATTATGTAGGCAAATTGAAATCAGTTCTCATAATAATGGGCTTCCCTGATAGCTCAGTTGGTGAAGAATCTGCCTGCAATGCAGGAGACCCTGGTTCAATTCCTGAGTCGGGAAAATTCGCTGCAGAAGGGATAGGCTACCCACTCTGGTATTCTTGGGCTTCCCGTGTGGCTCAGCTGGTAAAGAATCTGCCTGCAATGCGGGAGACCTGGGTTCGATCCCTGGGTTGGGAAGATTCTCTGGAGAAAGGAAAGGCTACCCACTCCAGTATTCTGGCCTGGAGAATTCCAAGAACTGTACAGTCCATGGGGTCGCAAAGAGTTGGACATGACTGAGTGTCTTTCAAGTGACTTTCACTTCACTTCCACTTCCACTTCTTGTAATAAAGGTATGTTAGATATAAAGCTCCCTAAAATAGAGAGACCTAACTGACTGCTCAATTTACAGCCGGGAGCCACCCTGCAGGCTTGGCAGGATGCGGTGCACAAGGGAGGTGGCGGGAACCTGGGCTCTGGACTTTCTGAGCCCGCATCAGGTCATCTCCCACTGTAGCTGGGCTTACAACATTGAGCAGCGCCAGCTTTGAAAGGTCATTAAGTTTTACTTGGCACTGACTCTGGCCATCACTGCAATATAAATAAGTGTGTTTTATTTCCTTTCAAAGTACGTGACCTAGGTTTCAGACTCCATTGTGTGTTAGTCACTCACTAGGTGTCAGGCAGTCAGTCCCCTTGGGTCTCATCTTCCTATTTGTAAAATGCAGACAATGCCAGCTTTGTCTCTTTTTCTGGAAGCCTGAGATAACTGGCAAGATGAATGTGGAAAGTGGTTCTAAAACCATAAATACTATATAAGAGAACACAAACCAGAGGAATCAAATAAACAAACAGAATCTTTAAAAAGTGATTAATTGAGGTATGTCTTCGAAAAATAAAATGATATCACTGTGAAAGATCCTTGGGAACAAACATATGTTCTTCAAAGAACAAAGGAGGAGGCCCTCTTGTCTCCTGTAATGTCTTTCTTCTTACTGGTATACCATCACCATTTTGCTCTCCACTGGAGCATTCCATCACCAATCAAACATAATTTTTTTCCCTCTCATCTTAAAACAACAGTCAATCTCCTTTGAACAGTCACTTTCCTTTGAACTTCCGTAGCTTAGCTACCATTCCCATTTGCAGCAATACAGAGTTGTCTATATCTTTAATTCCCACCCTGTCATTCTCTCTTAACCATTCTTTTCAGCCATCATTTCATGAAAACTGTGCCCATCAAAGTTGCAGGTGACCGTCCCTCGGTTCTCAGCCCTCACCTTTTTGACAGTGTCCATGTGCTCCCTCAGTAATCTGCTTCTGGGCCTCCAGGGTCCCGTACTTCCTGAAAGGTACCTGGCAGAAGCTTTCTCTTTCTTATAAGCCACGAGGAGTTCTTTTCTACCTTCGGTTATGAACCTAAAACAAATCTCTGACAACTGCAGTCTGGTTTCCAGAATCTTTTTCTAATCTCATGTTTGAAAAAAAGAGCAAAATTGTCTTTGGAAAATGATGGTAATCTCTGTGTGTGTTCTAAGGATGACATTATGTGACCTTATACATAAAATTATTATTACTGATATTGCAAGATGTTAATATGTAAATTAAGAACTTTAAATTATTTAATAATGCACCAAAAAGTCCCCACACTTTTCACGTCTGTACTATCTGAAGAACACAGTTAATTAGTTAAAGAAAGGAAAGATGCAAAATAAATTAAAAATTGAGACAAAGTGAATGTTAAATTGATACTTCTAATTATGTATCGTTAGGGAATTTCCCTGACAGCCCAGTGATTAGGACTCAGTACTTTCACTGCTGAGGGCGTGGTTTCAATCCCTGATTGGGGAACCAAGACCCTACAAGCCTCGTACTGTGGCATAATAAATAAATGTATCTTTAGAATACATCAACTTTTCCTTTTTATATTGAGTTTATTTGCAAATTAAATATCTCCTATTTATAGTTTGAAACAACTGAATCTAAGGTAAGGCTATGAAAAATTGCTAGAAAATGTATTAGAACAAAATAAAATGCTATGTTTAACTTCACATAAAATCTATGATGTGAAAACTATTAAGGAAGGTAAATAAAATGATAGGGATAAAATTTTTTCATTTCAAGTTTGTGTTGTGAAGATTTATATTACAAGAAAATCACCCTCATAAAATCATAAAAATGAAAATTAATAAAATATATATAAAACATTGACTATACAACTTAATTTCTCTTAAAGATAACCATCAATCTGCCAGCAGAAACTACTTTAAGCTTTCATAACGAAAAAATAAAATCAAAAGACTAATGAAAATTTTAGGTGGTGAGAACACAAATGAAAAAGGGTATATGTGAAGAACTAAGTTAGAGTAAAAAATATTGAAGATGGAAGAACATGAGGAATATGAGAAAAGAAGGCTATTGAAACTATTATATATCTATTTTTCCTTATGCTACATATCATTAATATGATTTGCTGACCACAGTATAAGTTAACCTTTTGCATTTTATATTTATTTAGACTTCCCCAGTAGGGAAGTCACAAATAACCATCTAAGTGGATCTTCTAAAATTTTCTACGAAATGTCAGAAGAGTAACAAACAAAAAAATTTAGCAAATACTGTTCCTCACAAACTTTTCACTTTAATCTTTTCCCTTTAGGTCTTATGTAGCATGCTTCAGTTCTTACTTTGGAGGAAAATATTCTATTGCATCCTGGTAACTGATGAAATAGTATATTAAACAAATTACACAAGAATATTGGCCTATTAAATTTAGACAACTCCCTAGATGGTTAAATTAATTAACTAAACAGTATTTTCATTTAAACACCAGAATACATTTGTCAAAGAGTAAATGCATTTCTTATAAGCTATTTTTAACAAAATTAAGAATATAAATTGGTTTAATTCTATGTCTCAATAAAATCGTTAGTCAAATAAAAAAGAAAACAAAATTGAACCATTTGATCTGTGACACTAATTTAACAAATATAATCAAGACCGCCTTAGAATACAGTCTAGAATTATGACATTTTCCTTTTGAGCACCTGCTGCCTTTGGTATTTATGGAAAACATGGCCGGGAAGGTCCCCGGGAAGGATACGATCAGTGCCTTGGAATATCACACAACCTTTCACCAGCTCTCCCATGATGCAACCCACTGACCAGATATCAACTGAAAATAAAGTGAAATGACAAAATTATGAAGTGCCATGAACAAAACAAAGGTGAGGAAAAGGTTTCTAACAGTGCACTAAATACATAAATATGGAAAATAAACAGCCAGTTAAGGGTGAACTGTTTTAGACAGTGTGAAAGATTGCTGACCTCTATTTTGGCTTTCAGTTTGCAGCAATCTGGGCTTTCAGTGCCAAAGAGTCCAACACTTTACAGCTTCAAAGACAAAAGTCCCAGAAATAAGGAGTGCCTGTCCCCAGAAAGCTGTTTCCAGGCACGAGCCCACCCCGGCTCCCGGCCTTGTGGTCAGCACCAGGTATCTCCCTGTGAAGGATACAGTCTCTTCCTGGGAACAGGACTTTATGGAGGACCATTTCTGCCATGATGCACCCGACAGACCAGATGTCCACTACCAAATACCAGGTGATTAAAACCAGCCAGAGACCGCCCCCACGCATGTCTTTTCTCAAATCCCCTCCCAAACAAAGACAGACCCAGCTTGTCAGTAGGACTCGTGTGAAGTATGAACACCATGCCTCGGAGTGATCCGTTTCTAACTGTCAAGTCAGCGGGGCCCCACGGGGCCAGGCTTGCCTGGGTTCTGGAGAGGGCCGGAGGCGCCTCCCCTTCTGGCTGTTCCCCTGCCCTGCGGGGCCCAGATGAGTCAAGGCCTCAGAAGCCCAGACAGAGAGCTCCTCCATGCCCCTGCCGGTGGGGGTGGGCAGAATTTTCTCTCATGTCCACACAGGGCTGGAAGGCCACAGACTTGTGTCTCTCTGAATAGGAGCGCAAGTTCTAAAACATCTGAATAAACTTGAAGCTCAACTCATTTCAGATGACTTAGGCAAACTTTCAGACTTTTTTTTTTTAATAAGTAAGTGTGATTTAGTTCTTTTTGACAAATTTTTCAAAAGCTAAGTTTCAAAGAGCTCTGATATTGCTAGAATAAGTTTTGCTGTTAAAAAAACAAACACCAATTTTACACACAAAAAGCACATGCTGTATTGTTCCATTTATATCTAGTTCAAAAATAAGAAAAATCAATCTATGGTGCTGGAAATCAGGATAACGGCTTCCCTTGGGGGTTGAGACCCAGAGGGGTCCCGGGGAGGCCTCTGTTATGCGGCTGGTTACGTGGGTGTGCTCCCACTGAGCGGCACACTTGGGATTTGCATATTTTTTTGTAAGCATGTTATACTTTGATAAATGTTCAAAATATTCATTTCAAAAGTGAATAATTTTAACCAATGGAAATATAAAATTATTTCTCGTCTGTGAACTGTGATAATCTACGTATAACACAGTCTCCGTATTATATTTCATACAGTTCACGGGAAAGAGAAAAAAACTAGTGATGACTAATAGCACTAATTTTAAACATCGCAGCCTCTTCCAGTTCTGTCTGTACTCACCGTTCTCTTTGTAGCCCATGCCCAGGATGACTTCGGGTGCCCGGTAATACCGTGTCACCACATAGGGGGTCATCATAAAGTTGGTGCACGCCGTGCGAGCCAGGCCAAAGTCAAGGATCTTAAGGGTGCAGTCTGACTTTACTACAATGTTACTAGGCTTCAGATCCTAGGACAGAAAAGGTTTAAATTAATACAGCGAACCCAAGCATGCTAAGTAAACAATCTCACTTTGGTAAGGATTTGTGAGGTCAGTGACCGCTGAGGTATGTGAGAGTGCTGGGAGAAGGAAGAAAGTTAGAATTGAACCCTGAGATTTTAGAATCATGTTGGAAAACCTAACTCTCAAATTGAAACCAATACAAATCAGTCTAGAGAGACCAGACGGTTGCCCTTATCTGCTGTGTGGAAACCTGCATGACACTACTTTGCTTAAATCCTTTTGAGAGTCTCTACAACATCCACTCGTCCCTCCTTCCACGCCTGGGTCATCCTTCATTTCCCAACATTCTGGCTCTTCCCTGCTATCCAACAGAAATATAATTCAAGCCCCATGTGTGATTTACATTTTCTAACGGCCACCTTAAAAAAGTGACTTGAAAAGGTAAGATTTAACTTTAATATTTTCTTTAATCCAATACAGTGTATTTCCATAGTATTCATTTCTAAAATGTAACCAACATATAAACATTATTGAGATATTTTACATTTTTTGGTACTGTCTTTGAAATCCAGTATTTATTTATAATTATAGCCACATTCTGAGTACTTAATAGCTTCATGTGGCTAGAGGCTATGATACTGGACAGCATAGGGCTAGAATTCTCAGACCCTGGAATCTCCCAAAGGCTTCTTCTTTCTTTGGAAGAAGAATCCCATGATTACCAACACCAACTTCCCATCCCCTGGGACCTACCATTCCCTGGCACACACACTACTCTTAAAGTCCCTTCTTCACCCCTACCAGTGAGGGCTCTGTGAGAGGAGGCCTCAAGGTCTCTCTGTGCTCCCAGCATGGAGTCTGGCACAACAGATTCTCAGGAAATGTTTGCCAGGTGAATGTATACATCATACTCTACCACACTCTCAACGCAACTCATCACAACTTCTGCAGCTTTTCCCCTCGTTACTCTAGGGCCTTTCTTCATGGTGATCCCCTACATCCTAGACCCTTCCTCAGGTCACAAGAATTTGATTATTGCCTGGAACTTCGGCCTGAAAACCCACCCTAGAAACTATGACTTCTAAACAATCCATATCTGTTATTTTCACAAGTGCTTTCTAATGTGTAGCTACAATGTCAAATTGCCAAGTCACATCACACAGTAAATGATGTTTTAGGACTAGCACCTGGCTGAAACTTTCCAGTTGATTCGTCACCAATGGGCATAGGTGTGCCTTGAGTGATAGCTGCCAAATGTTACTGGGATAAGTAGAAAAACATTTAAATTTACATCAGTCAAAACTAAGTTTCATTACTGCTAAGGGCTTTCTTTCTAAACATCCGGAATACAGTAAACTATAACGTAACTATGCACTGCTTGAAAACATAATGAAAACTCCTACCAAGCCCATGCAGATGCACTGGTCCCTGGCTGCCCCAGAGCACTTCCTCCATGCATGTCCCGACGGGAGCATGGCCAGCCCCACCCACAGCTGCGAGGCCGTAAAGAACAAAGCATGGGAAGAATAGGCACCACGCTCAAACCAGCGACCTTCTCCTGTGAGGAGGCAGTCATGCAGCTAAGGTGAAACAAACCAATTTGTTCCTAGGTTCCTTTTTCAGAACCAAAGAATATGGGAAGAACGGGTATTTCAGAATATAAATTAATTGTGCTTAGTTGCTCAGGCGTGTTCAACTCTTTGCAAGCCCATGGACTGTAGGCTGCCAGCCTCCTCTTTCCAAGGAGATTCTCCTTTTTATACACCATGGACTGTATAAAAAAGCAAAAACCTATGACACCGGAAGATGAGCCCGCAGGTCAGAAGGTGTCCAGTATGCTACCGGGAAGAGCAAAGGGCAATTACTAATAGCTTTAGAAAGAATGAAGTGGCTAGGCCAAAGTGGAAATGACACTCAGTTGTGAATATGCCTGGTGGTGAAAGTAATGTCTGATGCTGTAAAGAACAATACTGTGTAGGAAGCTGGAAAGTTAGGTCCATGAATCAAGATAAATTGGAGATGGTCAAGCCGGAGATGGCAAGATTGAACACTGACATCTTAGGAATCAGTGAGCTAAAACAGACAGGAATCAGCTCAGTTCAGTTGCACAGTCGCGTCCCACTCTTTGCGACCCCATGGACGGCAGCATGCCAGGCTTCCCTGTCTATCACCAACTCTCGGAGCTTACTCAAACTCATGTCCATAGCATCGGTGATGTCATCCAACCATCTAATCCTCTGTTGTCCCCTTCGCCTCCTGCCTTCAGTCTTTCCCAGCACCAGGGTCTTTTCTAATGAGTCAGTTCTTCGCATCAGGTGGCTAAAGTACTGGAGCTTCAGCATCAGTCCTTCCAATGAATATTCAGGACTGATTTCCTTTAGGATTGAAAGGATGGATTTCCTTGCTGTCCAAGGGACTCTCAAGAGTCTTCTCTAGCACCACAGTTCAAAAGCATCAATTCTTTGGCATTCAGCTTTCTTTATGGTCCAACTCTCACATCCATACATGACTACTGGAAAAACCATAGTTTTGATTATGTGGACCTTTGTAGGAAAAGTGATGTCTCTACTTTTTAATACACTACAAAGCTATGACAAACTTATGATATTAAAAAGCAGAGACATTACTTTGCAGACAAAGGTTTGTATAGTCAAAGTGATGTTTTTTCCAGTAGTCATGTGTAGATGTGAGATTTGGACAATACAAAAGGCTGTGTGTCAAAGAATCGATGCTTTTCAATTGTGGTTCTGGAGAGGACTCTTGAGAGTCCCTTGGAAAGCAAGGAGATCCAACTAGTTAATTCTAAAGGAAATCAACCCTGAAAGTTCATTGGAAAGACTGATGCTGAAGTGCCAATA